CACCAAAGACATAATTTCCAGCCCATCCAAGTTTCTGAAGTGTTGAGCATTTATAAAGCTCAGTTAATATAATTCTAGCCAAAAGCAAAGAAATCGCCCAGTGTAGGCTTTGGCATAATTGCAGGGTTGTTGCTGTTTTTAAACGTTGAAAATGACCAGGCAACCCCCTCGGGTCCCCTCCTGCTCTGGGAGCTGTTCTGTCCTCTCAATAAATCTTACTTTCCAGAAAAAGAAAAGAGAAAATGACCAATATGTCCTGACCTAACAAGTCTCACCTTTTCTCATACGTCTGTGGATCCAGGGACCCTAAGATGGAGATCAGGTCGTCAACAGGAGCAGAGATCATATCTCACACCTATTCATTATGCTTCTGAGCTTCGTGAGATTACAGAGAAGAATTGACATATACCTAGCTGCCCAGAACTTCAAATTTAATCTAATTTTCTTTCTTTTTTTTATTGCAGAGAGTAGCACAGGCTCATTACAGAAAGATCAGACTAGATATGTACCAGCAAAAAGAACTTTTAAAAAAATCTTCCACATTTTCTTCTATGCAAACATGCATATATACTTTTTAAGGCATAAGTGGAATCTCTTTTTGTATCGGTTTTATAACTGTTTTCAGTGTCCATAGCTACATAGTATCTCATTTCTAATTTTATAACGCATTTATTCCTTTATAGTTGGACTTTGGGATTTCCAGCTTTCTGAAATTAAAAATAGCTATGCCCTAAATAACCTTGTAACAATATTTGTATATATCCCTAACTGTTTCCTTGGGAAACATTCCCAGAAGAAAATTTGCTGGGCATACTTTCTTTAAAGAAAGGTGCTGCCAATTGCCCTCCAGAAGGTTGTGCTAATTTACATTTTCACTCTGGAATTTCTCATTGGGAGTTAATATGCGTACAGGTGAGAAGAATCACCTTAGTATCATAGTAGCAATATTAATCACAAAATGAGAAATAATGGGCCTTGAAGGGCAAGGGACAAGCCTGGAAGAGAGCGGTGGCATATTCACAGCGGGGCAACATGTCCACTGGTCTTGTGAGTAAGGGCCGCGTCGAATGAAGGACCAGGAGGACAGCTGACCTGAGCACACGGACTCTAGGTTTTCCTCCCTTTCTTTTGTTTCTCATGAACTTAAACACAGACTGCACTCTTATTTTTGAGTGACTAGGAATCAATTCTGTTGAAAAATCAGTTCAGCTTCTAGAATTTCAATGTTTGGGTTCAGCTCCTTTAGAAAGTGAGAAAATTATATCCCATTTAAAATCCATTTACAAGTATACCGAGACCTTAAAATTGAATTTACATTCCAGTGTTCCTAATTATTAGCAATGAGTAAATTGTTTGGCTTAGATGGTTATTTTGGGTATCAAGACAAGCTTTTGCGCACCCCTTTTCACTAAAACTTCAAAACCATTGAAGCAGAATTTCCCTGTCATTGTCTGTTCCAATTACATATTACATGATTACCTTTTTCTTTGTACTTTGCAGTATCATCTGTTCTTTAAATGATACACCAGCCATTACTAATTAAGTCTCTTTATTATGTGCGTTACTGAAAGTTAGAAGCTCTGAATTTTTTAGCATCGGTAGTTTTATTTTACAGCAGTCATAGGGGTCTCGGTGCTCTTGGTGCTCTTGATTGAGCCACGCGTTTGCTTTCTACGGTGCTCTGCCAACCGGAATGTTGCTCTGTCTTAATGTTGAGCAGTGAGGAGGCCGCTTTGACACATGCCTCCAGCATTTAAAGAATGTAGAAGGAGTCCAGCACTTACGTGCCATGGAGATACTGACTTGAAGGCCAAGTGTGAGCTCAGGCTCTGGCCCTGTCCTGTTGTGTAGGCCACAACCGGCTGTCAGTCATCTCGTGAACCTCCTCGCCTCCTCGGGCTCAGTGGACGACACTTATTTCATGAAGGGAGCTCCCAGGTGTTACCTGCTTCCAACCTGTATTGCATTTTGATTTTTGCAATGGACTGTTATCTTTAGAATGTTCCACTGTCTGTTTAGTAAGCTGCCCCAGTGGTGGTTGGCCATGGAGTCCCCAGTCAACTCATCCGCGAACGCTGATGTGAATTTTCATCATTCCAAATTCTGTTCCTGGCTGCTGATGTGAATGTACCTCGTCGCAGAAGACTGTCTTTTTGGGTTTGTAATCCAAATAAAAATGCAAGTACGGAAAGCTCATCAGAGTGGTATCTGAGGCAAATACCAGATATGTCTGCAGGTTTCAGCTGTGTTGTGAAAAGGTGACAATTTAGGAAAGACTATTTTGCTTGGGCTTAAGGACAAAAGTTTGCAGCAACCAGCTTCAGATTGATTTCTTTTCTCCTGCTCTCAGTGTTAGGAAAGTGAAGAATTTGCCAATTGCGAATGTGTTAAGAACTCTGGATAGTAATAAGAGCTGCTCCCAGAACTTGCAGACAATAATTAAGAATCAGGAAACTGGAAGTCTGTGTGACATACAGTAGGCTGTTACCCCTCAGGAAGCTCCTGGGGAACATTAGCAAGATGGGGTCAAAGCCCCATCTGACTCATAAGGATATAAATAAAAGGAAGCCTTCTGGTGCCATACCACCAGGAAGGGGCTTTGTCTGAAGAGACCTCAGTGGGGCCATATTTTGCTTTCTGCTGACTGTAATAATTGTTATCCCCCTTTTGGTGGGTTATACCTATACTGTTTATTATTTAATTTGTTATACAGATGGTTACATATTTGCTATGGAAAGTAGTATAAAATGCCTTTCTGGAATTTGAGGTGACCCACAAAGCCGCAAAGCTGCCTATTGCGAAAATATTTGGGCTACATAAATTTTCCATCTTCTTTTTATTATCTGAACCACCTATTTCCTGCAGGGCATAAGTGCAGGAGCGCATGAACAAAGGAGGCATTAGCAGAGCCCACTAATTAGGCCATTTCTGACGAGCTGCTCTGAGGTGCACTTGATGTACAGGCAGGGCAGAAATCAGTATTCCCTTGAACCCAATAAATCGCGGCACTATAGCCCAGTGGGATTGGCACAGGACTGGCTGTACTCATAAGCAGATTAGGGTTCAGTACTTTTTTTAAAGTCCCCTTTTCACTAAGAATTATTTTAATTATTTGCTGACTGAATTCCCATCACAGGGATGCTTTCATGTTCCCTCCAGGCGCCCTTTACAATGCAGCGAGTTGAGGCTTTGAGTAGCCTCTTGTCTTTCCTCCAGTGGTAAAGGAGAATGGCTGAGTCAGAGCATCGGGCACTCATATACAATTATTTACAGTTTTGCATCAAGCTGGTCATAAATGGATATGCTGATTAGGCGCATTTACTTCGCCATCCACTCTACCCTCTTCAAGAATAACGAGTTCGTTGGAACTTGAGCACTTTGTGCTCTTGTGGAATAAATCATGAGCCTGGAATAGAATGTAGTCTTTCTGTGATTTTTTTTTTTCCTGATTGTTGTATACTGTCAATGTGAGAATTTGAAAGGGAGTAGTTTATAGGCAGAAAGTTAAGGGCTAGGCGTGGTGGCTCATGCCTATAATCTCAGTACTTTGGGGGGCCAAGGTGGGAGGACTGCCTGAGGCCAGGAGTTCAAGACCAGCCTGGGCAACATAGCAAGACCCGTCTCTCAAAAAAATTTAAAAATGAGCTGGGCGTGGTGGTCTGTGCCTACAGTCCCACCTACTGGGGTGGGGGCACTGAACTGGGATGGTCCCTTGAGCCCAGGAGCTAGAGGCTGCAGTGAGCTGTGAGTGTGCCACTGCACTCAGCCTGGGTGACAGAGTGAGACTCTGACGCAAAAAAACAAAAACAAATAAAGTGAGTATGTATTGAGCACTACTATGTGCTCTCATTTTTATAATTTTGTTTAATTCTCACAATTCTAAATAAATTATATAATCCCCATATTTACAGATAAGAAAATTGAGTCTTAGACATGTTAGCTGAGTACGATCTGACTGTGTTGATGCCAAACCAATGCTGTCTCCACAGTTAGTTCTTTCAGTCTCTGTCATCCAAAAGTTGACTGAGTTAATTCTAGTTGTTTTCAGTAGCCTGCCTTGGGGGCTCAAGTCAGGCTCTTTCAGGTCTGGGTTTGAATCCCATGTGTGTAACTGGGTCTCATTATGTGAACCTCTCTTAGCCTCACTGTAGATTGAGGCCAATGCACCCCACACTAGGGGCTTTCGGGAAGATAAATGTTGAGCTCCACGTAAGGTATGGAGTGCAGTGCCAGACCCTTAGTAAGCCCTTAATACGTGGTTGCTACTGCCGCGCTATGAGAGGGGCCTTTTATTTTGTTTTAACCTTGTGCTCAATAATTGGGTCATCTTGGAACATGATGATATCTCAGAATGCTTTGAGGATGTTATTTTGCTTTTTCTTCTATTTTTAACATATCAAGTGATCTCCTCCACTTTCGGAAATTAGCTTCATTGTTATGGTCTGTGTCTCGGGTCTGTGCATTTTACTGCAATACTGTGGGCTTTCTTAAGACTGTGGATATGTCTTAGATACAAGTTCTTAAATGGGGTGATTTTATTTGATGTCTTAAGTAATCTGTAATTTAACATTTCGAGTTCTCTCTTACTTACGATCTCTAGATCATAGCTCAGTGCGACAGATATTAGAAACCGTGTCCCGACGTTTGCTAGCTCACAGACTACTGCCTAAAGGGGGCCTCTCAGCATCCTGCGACCGTGGGCCATGCTGCCATAGCTCCCTAGACCCGTCGTGCAGACTGGACGGCACCGTCGCAGGGAGGACCCAGTGCCTGGCAGGCCCTCTGTCCCCATCTGCTGATGGGAAGGTGCTCGGCGATGACCCAGCTTGGTGCTGCTGTGGCTTCTGCCTGCCTTGAGTAGCACTGTCACTTGACCGACTCTGTTTCTGGTCCTTTGGCTTGACTCAAGAGAAATTTTTATTCTTATGCCTTAAGTGTTTGATTTCATTCTAACAGGCCTGATTATTTATAAAGTAAATCCTTGGGTTTGTTCCCAGCAGGGATACCAAGAAGAAGCGAGGAATGAGGAAGAGGGACGACAGCGACGTGGAAGACGTGGGGCCAGCGAGTCGCAGCAGCAAGAGGGCCAAGAGGGACGCCTCGGAGCCTCTGGATACGGGCCTGTCCCTGGCTGAGGACGAGGAGCTGGTGTTGCATCTGCTCAGGAGTCAAAGCTAGCTGCTCCCCGTACCTGCTTGCTCCTCAGAGCCTGTGGTCCTGATCACGTGGGCAAGAAGCTGGACAGGCCACCCGGGTAACCTTGTCCCGCTCCCAAGGATGCATTCTCCAGGCAGAGGCAAGCGGTCCTTTCTCTCAACCCCTCCGGGCACATGCTCTGGGCTGTCACGCAGCCCTTGCAGAGCGGCAGTGCCCTGGACAGTTTCCCGTCCCGCTTTCCAGTGTGTGCTCGGTGGGACGTGATCCGCGGGCTCCTGCTCCTTGTTGTTGGAGATGCTTCCTCTGTTTTACTGGCAAGTTCTGGAACTCTTGTGTCATTGTTAGAAATTCACGTCTTGCTTAGGATACAGAAGTTCTGTGCTGCTGTTAGATAAAATTGTTCATAATTTTGATGTATTTAATCTTTGCAAAAAGATTGACTATGATGGACCAGCTCTGGGAAAGAACGAGTATTTTTGAATTGAGATGATCAATAATAAACATATTTCCCATAAAATAAAGTATTAATGTTTGCATTAATATAAGATGAGCAAACCCTCAAGGGGAGGTTCTTAAGGTCCTCATGCTTGGCTGATTCCTGAAACTGCGTGAGCCTTCTCCAAGAGCTGTCGTTTAACTTACACTTGCAGATTTCCTAGCGGTCATTTATAAAATCTACAGCCGTCCTGAGTCTGAAGACTCTGTGACCAAAACCTGGTCTGTCATGGAGCACCTGGCAGCCTGCGGTTCCTGCTTTCGACAGCAGCTACCCCAGGCCACTCCCCCAGCCCAATGCCCGATGGTGAATAAAAGGCAAAACAAGACAGAGCCTCTTTTTTAGTTACAAACAACTGTCAGATTCTTCAGCGGGAAGGAACATGGTGAAGAAATCAAGGTCTTGGCTTGAAGCAATGATTGTGTCATAGATCTGTCACCCCCGAGTTATTCTGTCCCCTTTCTGCCTCCCCACTCCACCCACGCACAAATATCCACACTTTCTGGCAATGGTGCAGATCACTGATCCAAGGAGGTGACTGATGGCCTTACACCCGGTCATCTCAGACTCCACTGCCAACTGCGCCTGACTCCATGTCTGTCTCCGAAAAGCTTCCCTCCTTTTCTACGCAGTGTCCTCATGAACCGGCACAATGTCTTGCCATCAAAGCAAGGAGCTTGATGTCGCCTGGTCTTCTCCCTTCCCCACTCTTCACGGTACTGGCTCGCTGGTTCCTCTTCCGTCACGACATTCTTACCCATTGTTGATTCTCTATCCTCATGGCTTCTGGCTTCAGTCAGAGTTCAGTCTCTCCCTGGGACCTGCCCAGACTAGTGCAGGGTCTCCTGACTGGCCACCTTGCTTCTCCAACCCAGGCTTCCATGTGGTCAGAAACCCCCTCACAGCACACATGAGGGGGGACCCCCAAAAACCTGCAATTACCTTTTGGAGGGAGGCCTCTTGTAGTACAGGCTTACCTTGCTAGATAAGTGTTCTAGGAACCCATGAGCTAGCATTGTGAAAGCCTGCATGGTGGCAAAAATAGCCCAAGTTGTGGCAAATAGCTGACTGGTTCTTCTGCCATGATAATTCACCTGTCCACACCGTGCTGAGTGTTCAGCAGTTTTTTACCTATGCCCTACCCTCCCTATTCACCCTGAGTGACTTTTGTTGTTGTTTCCCTGGATGTAAAAAGTTCTCAAAGGGAAATGTTTTGTCGATGTGGAAGAGTTGAAACAAACAACGGCAGAAGCACTGAAAGGCGTCAAAATCGACGAGTTCAAAAACTGTTTTGAGTCATAGAAAAAGTTCTCAATAGTTGTATTGCATCAAACAGAGAGTACTTTGAAGGTGACTGAAGTTTAAATGCGTAGGAATAAATACACAATTTTTTATAAAGGAATTCTGGGGGTTTTTTTGGTTCTCCCTCGAACAAGTAGTTTCCTTCTCTGCTACCCTATAAAGGGGGAAAAGAGAGAAGCAAATCCATAATATTAGTGCATCACGAAAAGAGCCAGTAGAAAGAGGAAGATGATTGAGTGAGGGAGGTCTTTCTGGAGCACAGGAAAGAGGAGTGACGTAGATTGCTTGGTCCGGGACCCAGAGAAGAATTCTTTTTTAGAAAAATGTGTTTTTTAATTTTTGAGTTGGGTCTCACTCTGCTGCCTACACTGGAGGACAGTGGCGTGATCACAGCTCACTGCAGCCCCAACTGATCCTACCACCTCAGCCTCCCAAGTATCTGGGACTATAGGTGTGTGCCACCACACCTGGCTATTTTTTTAAAAAATTATTTTTGGTAGAGACGACGTCTTGAACTCCTGGGCTCAAGCAATTCTCCCATCTCGGCCTCCCAAAGTGCTGGGATTATAAGCATGACCCCCCTGCAGCCAACCGAGAGAATAATTCTTGTTTGTTGCTTAACTGAGGCTGAGAGGCCGTTCATCAGGCTCATGGAAAACCGATCCCTAAAATTACGTAAGTCTCTGATAGATAACACCCAGCAGCAGAGTCCTTTGGAGGGCTGCCATCTCATAAGCTTAACATGGCATTTTCGATTTGTTTGGGGCTGTAAAAAATGGTGAAGTTTAATTAAGTGTAATTAATTTTGTTACACAACATTTGAAATATGCTGAACATGGAAAGCCATCTCTCTGCCAGAGGATGCAGATGTTCCCAGGAAGCTGGGGTGGGAGGGCGGGGAGGGGACGGTGTAGGTAAAGAAAAGAGAACCTGCAGCCAAGATTTCAAACCCTGTTTCGGCTCTTTTAAGACCATTTTCCCTAGATGTGTCATCCTGGTGCGATTTTCTTCCACAGCCCCTGCTGATGGGGCAGCCCGGGGCAGACATGTTTCATACCATTCTTACCCACTGCCTGCTGCTGGCTCAGAAGCTGGCCACACCCCCGTCAGCCCACCAGCGGGGCTGGTGCAAAAAGTGTGTCCAGACAGGGTTGAATGGAGCAAGTAACGTTTCTACTGTCAGGAACTGACATTCAGATAGTGAGCGAAATAGGAAGCTTGTGAAACAGACCCGGGAGTACCTGGTAGGCAAGGAGACCTCCAGTTAGGAGGTCGTCAAAGCTGTCAGTGGGAAGAGAACTCTGGCCAAGAGTAAGGAATGATGGTCAGGGAGCCAGTCAGTTCGATCTGCGGCGACCCGGGGAAAGGAGTGACCCGTGGTTGGGGCTGTCTGGGGACACCTGCCGGGCCTGCCTGTTGAGGTCTCCCCGATCCAAACTGACCCTCTGCTTCCCGTCTTCAGAGGCTTGACCTTGCCATGGTTCTTCGCCTCCTGGGCGAGTCTCTCTTCTTCTCCGCTCGAGGGGTACGACCCCATTGCTTCTCCTGAGCTAGTTTGAGTGAGTTTTGGGGACCTTTGTACCCCCAAAGAGTTTCAGTAAAAGAATACTCCAAAGCAGGGCTACTTAGATTTTACTGTGTACAGGAATCACCAAGAGATCTTTCAAAGAGCAGATTTTGCTTCTTCAGTGTGTCTGGGGTAGGGCCTGACAGTGCAATTCTAACAAACTCCCAAGAGATGGGCACGTCACTGCCTCCTGGCCATATCCGAGTAGCAAGGCTCTAGTGGAATTCAAAGTCATGAATGTCATTATTCACAGAGAGGGATTCTATCAGTGTTCCAGCAGGAAACAGATGGCACACCCAAATTAGGATAATTCTAAGGGGGTTTAATACAAGAGTTATTTGCATAAGGAGGACGGAGTGAGGAAACCACAGAAGATTGTCTACCTGAGGCTGGGAACACAGGTGTTACCATCCCTTGCCCTGAGGGAATGAGAGGAGACAGTCGGTCTGTTACCAAAATCTGGAAGGAGAACAGTATAAACCTCTACTCTGTGACCTTCAATTGCAATGTGCAGCCAGCCTGGGGTGACCACAAGGAAGAAGAGAATAAATGTCATGACCTCACTTTCCTGCCTTTCTATCTTTCTAGACTTTGCTACCAGTGACCCCACTGGCCCTAAACAACCCAAAGCGAGTGGCCTGTAGATGTAATCGGTGGTCTCCCAGGACCCAAAGCAAGGTGGAAATGTGTATGGGAAAAAACAAGGGGAAACTGGCTTTGAGATTTGGTGGGCGTCAGTAGAAATCTTCTTTGGTGGGAAGAGAGGGGCCCCTCATAGGCTTTGTCCCTTCAACACCTGCTGCATACCAGGCATGCACTGTCCTCGTGAGAGAGACCGTGCCAGTCCAGGCACCCCGTGCTAGCCGGCCGCCATCAGATGTGCAGCTCACCTTAGCGATGTGTTCTTGAGCTGTCAAGTGTCACTCACTCCTCCAGGAAGCTCTTCCTTCGGTCTCCAGGCCATTCCCCATATCGTGGTCTTGGGGCTCTCACTGAAGTGAGGCTCATGGCCGGCACTAGTCATGTGTTCCTCTTCGGCGTGACTGATGACCTTTACTGAAATGGCGGACGTCTCTCAATGCTCTACCTTGGAGATCCCACCCGCCCGTGATGTCAGATGATGTTTTCTCCAACAAGAATAGTAATCTCAGCACTTCTGAGTGTTGCACCGTCAGGTTGCAATGGGACAGTGGGTGCTGGCAGCTCTCCCAGTCTCATCTAAGCCACGTTAATTTTTGTTTCTGTCACTCCACTAAAATACCACTTGTCAAGTCACTACCAGCTTCCTTGTTGCTATATCCAAGATCAATTCTTGGGACTCATTTTAATCAACCTACTGGTAGAATTGGACTGTCCTACCTTCTCAGAACACTTTTTTGCTTAACTTTCAAGGAACCACACTGTTAATCTCTCTCTCTCTCTCTCTCTCTCTCTCTCTCTCTCCCTCTCCCCCCCCTTACTAATACTTTTCACTCTCCCTTGCTGATTGTTCCTCATGTTCTTGACCTCTAAACATCAGGGGGTCTCCAGGGCCCAACCCTTGGAATTCTCTATCCATATTCATTCCCCAGGTGACCTCATCTGGTCTGATGGCATAAAATTCCACATGGATGCTGAGTACTCTCAAATTTGTGTCTCCAGCCCAACTTCTCTGCATTCCAGACTCACATCCAACACTCTATCGAATGTCTCTACCTGAATGTCTAACAAGCATCTCATACTTCATATGTCCCAAAGTGACCTCTTCGTTTTCCTCCCAGTTCTTTTCTTTTTTCCATCTCAGTAAATATCTCCCTTGTTGGGGTCTATCAGGTCCCAAACCTTGGAGACATTCTTGACTTGTTTCTTTCATGTCATAGCCAATCTTAGCAAAGTCAGTCAGCCCTTCTTTTGAAATATATCCCAAAGTCGACTTCTCACCATTTCCAGTTTCCACTCTGTTCCAAGTCATCAGTCCCTGGACTAGCGCAGTCAACTTCTGAGTGGTCTCCTTGCGACAACCCTTTCCTCACACAGCAGCTGCCATGATGCTTTTAAATTATAAAGTGGGTCATGGGACTCCTCCACTCATTTCAAATGCAGGAGTTCCCCGTTTTCCTGCAGTTTTGCTTTACAAGGTTTCAGTTACCTGCAGTCAACCATGGTCTGAAGA